TCATTTTACGTTTGGAAATGAGCTGATGCAAATATAGTGGTAAAAGTCACAACAGCTGGTGGTATAGTCACCTGTAAGTTCTGAACTAGCATACATACATACATTTAGCAGGCATACTGTATCACCTACCTGTGGAGAATACATAATTGTGAAGCAGCATTTACTGTAGCCTGTCTAATGGCTCTGTTTGTCAGTATTCAAATAGTGTAGAGGCATACTGTGGAATGGCCTACCAAAAACATTGATTGGAGTTGGATGAAATTCACCTTGAAAGATCCCAGAATAAAAATTCCTGTGTGGCCTTTGATCTAAAAGTAAACTTTATCAACTAAACACAATGAATACTAATGAATCAGCTGCTCTTGGGTATTTTGTGCAATTCAGGATTTACCATTGAGAGGGGATGGTATATCCTTCAGGAGAAGATACTGGGAGAATCTCAATTGCATACTCCTTGCGTCCTCTCTCCTCGACTCCTTCTCTGAGAGGAGAGAGGAAGCGAGGAGCATGCAATTGAGAGTATCCCCATGTCATTCTGATTATATTAATTCTAATTGGTTGAGTGGCATGTGATTCAGGTTGTCACATGATCACATGATGATGAGACCAATTTGGCAAGGTTGGGGGGGGGGGCACAGAAACAGTGCAGTTTACAAGACGGAAGAGATAAAACTTTTGTCACAACCAAACATTTTAACAGTATTGTCAGATACGTTATCGTTATCACACTGACCCTTTATTACCTTTTACACAGCCCAACATTTACGTATGAATTATTTCAGAATCATCTATACAGGTCTCATAAAGGGTTTATGAAGGCTTCATTAAGCCTTAATAGTTGTAATTTGTCTACATTTGACCCATTTAACATTTAGAACCTAAAATAGATATAAGAATCCATCACACAAGATCCTCATCTAAAACCACTACCCATATAATCTATAGCTATAACATTGAAGAACAAGTGTTGGTTAACTTAGGGCATGTTTCATCACTGCCAAATACTCCAAAGTCACAAAGGGACATGTTGTTTACTGAAATGCTGTCTTCTCTTGCTGTAGTCATGAGATTTTACAACTTGCACATCGAGGAGGAAATACAATCAACTAGCTAAGTATGATCACAGGATCTTTTGACAGCTGACCCCTGTTCGACTAAACTGCAACTTGGAAATACCAGAGTAGACTACTATTGATTTGAACAACACAGCCTTGCTTTTCATCGCTTCATAGTGTTCCCTTAGAACATCTGTAATGACATGTTGACCCAAATTATTCCTTGACCTGGTTGTAAGGGGTATTACTCTCCTTTCACAATCAGGGATGTATACATGCAGGTCAAATTTGTTTGTTCTTTTGTTTGTTAAGTGTTTATACACTCAGAGAAATTGCTAATACAGCCAAAATACATAATAAGTTTAGAAAAGTTTTCACCTATTTCACAGCACTAACTTGATGTGTATGTCCACATTGAATCAAACTCATGAACACCTAGCCTACTACATTTCTGGGGGTTGAACAGTCTGAGGAACCAAGACACGTGGACCACTTTGAGCAGAAAGAACTCAAATCTATCACAAAAAGTTATCCATCCAGTCATTTGGAGAAGATAATGGAATTTGAAATGAAAGAGAGAGGGAGGGGGGGCAAGATAGAGAATAATCTTTAACAAGATGTGTGAGGTCTATAAACAGGCCAGGGAAACATCCCTGCAGGCGGTCATAGGGAGTAACAGAGGAAACACAATCAGGCCATTCTTCTGAGCCAGGGTTTGGAGAGGAGCTGGTGGATCACGCTGTGGCTGGCGGGACAATCAGGCCTCAGAGGACACCCTTAACTTTATTTGTTCCACTTCACAGTCATAGAGGAACCATACTCCCCATTCACCATTAAATCAGAGGTTTCAAAGAATGTGCACCCTCACATCTACATGTATTTGACTATCCCCAGCAGTCAGTGCTCTACATTATGTGTATGTCTGTGGCAATACTAAAGACAGTGAATACAGTTTCTAGTTATTGTGTGGTGTCAGACATTTTGTGTTTTTTGTATACAACAAGTGTTATGTATAGGAAAATTACATTAATGTTTTATTGTATAACCTACCTACCAGAACAAACAAATAATATACTGCAGACGGATGTCCAAACTAACAATATTTTAATTACTTGAATGTTGGTCCAGAAGTTATTTAGAAAGCACCTAATATCAAATGGATTCAAACTTATCATGCAGAGAGCATGAATATGTCATTTTTCTTCACTATTGTCTGTTAGAAAAGATAGTCAAAGCACTCCAGCTGTTTAAATCTTCAGGTTTGGTAATTATACACAACAGGGTAACTATTAACAGTTGCCACCTCACACAAAGTTCCCATAATAGCCATTTGCTGCCAAACAAATGAGACACCTCTTCTTCTATCTCCTTCTCCTCCTCCTACTACCACCATCACTGCTAAATGAAATATTTATGCCAGGATGAAAATCGTTGCATGTCCTTTTCATATCGGATAAATCAGCCAGGCTTTTAATAATCATTGTAATAAAAATAAATGGTAGGCCCTATTTCACAAGAGAAGGAGATAGCAAGTTATGGAAATATTAACATTGGCATTTCATTAAGTAGAAAGAAACCTCAAGAATCTCTGAAAAAAATGAACAATGTTCTTATCTTATAGTTTAATTTCGAGTATACCCAAAAGCAGCTGATTCATGAGAATTCCTTGGGGACATACCTTCCTCCAATCCTTTCATATACAGTATGTTAGTGATATTTCAACATGAAATCATGACTATATGGTTCCCATAGCTATAAGATAGTCATATCTGGTTTATGTATGTGCCTGCACCTGCCTCTCTCATGGTGAGGTCTGACAGAAAAGCCTGGAGCCACCTTGTCCAAACCTGGTCCAATCAGAGGAGTCCAGGAGAGAGCACCTGGAATAGCTTGACGATGACTCATATGTACGGATCTAGAATCTACCTACAGGGAAGATCAGCTCAGGAGCCCTTCAGAATGAGCCAGGAAGGAACACAAGTGTCTGTTTGTCAAGTCAGATCACTCAGCTCAGCAGCTTTTGGGCATTACGGAACGTTCTCTCTAGTCTAGATTCTAGCACACTGGCGTCTGTTTGTTAGAAAGAGTTTGACTTCTACTGTATCCTTTTACGCATTGCACTTCTAGGTGTGATTTTTGAAAAACATTTACGCCTATTGTTCAACATACTGTAAAAGACAACAAGATGTAGCCTGAGGAAGTCAGTTTTCATCCTTGGTGGCACACATCCCAGAACCCTTGGAGGTTATCAAAGCAATGCAAATCTGGGGATTGGATGGAAACATATTAGAGGGTAAAACTATAAAATTATTCCAGTGCCTCTGCAGTGATTGCTGTGAATTAACCATTCAGTATCAGACCTCAATTTACGCATTAGAAGGAAGAAAGATTTAATCAGTTCACTGCCTGGAAGCATTCACCACACGTACAGAAGCCCCGTTTATACCCGCCACTAACATGCATCCTTCTTCCTGATCTTGTCCTGCTCTTGCACTTATAAGATCAGTTCACAATGCGTCTTTTAATCATCTACACCTATCTAAAAATGTGGGCACAATCAGAATGTTGACAAGATATGGACAAAGGACGCATGTTAGAACCAGGTATAAACAGGGCTAGAGAGACAAACATACCTCTGAGGGATTGGTCGACTAGGATTACAATAGATAGCTGTCCACAAGAAATCAGCTCTTCCTTTTCAAAAGTAACATTGGCTGCAGGCAGGCAAATAAAGGGCAGTGCGCCCTCAAAGGGTGTAACAAGTGAGTGCTGAACAATATAGCCAACATGTGTTACATTTCAAGTTTGTTTGATGTCTGGACAGGTTCACAAGGAGCAGGTTGAGCCTTGAGTCTGGGTTGAGTCATCCTTCATTCTTTCTACACCTCCACCATGGAATGAACGCATGAAAGCGGACTGGAGCAGGAACCTGACTTCTGCTGTGTTGTATGTTTAACTTTGAAGCAGTTTGAAAGTTACTATATGAAGTTGACAGACTGCAACGCCATAAACAGGTTGTTATCATTGTAACGTCAGGCAAGTCGTTTCAAGAGAAAGTAGGAAAAACATTGCAGCTTGTATAATGATACAAATCTAACGTCTGTACATGATACATGATGTGATAGATCTTACTATATTTATTTGATTACTAATCTCATGAAGTTGAATTAAGAAGATGTTTCATGACACCTTTTCTAGAATACCCAGCAAGTGTATGCCATACACCATCATGCCATACCCTGATATTCACAGTCCTTGCACAGAAAAATAAAGTCAAGCATTTTACAAACATTTCATGAATTTTATTTTAAAAAGCGTCTTAAAAATATTACAATCATTTATTCAGTATCACAATTCACACTGTCAAAAATACAATAATCTCAGTCACACTTACATTCAAATATATAAAAATACAAATGCAAACAATTGTTTCAGAAAAATACTTAATTGTCAAGACAAAGTGAGACACTTTGTAAAAGTATTGTTATCTTGAGTGCTGGCAAAACAGTTACTGTGTCATTGAGTTGTAATACTGTCACCCTAAAAATTGTCTTTCCACTTATTCCTTAAGTTATAATGACTTTAAATATTCCATTGGCTGTGCACAGTCTGTCTCTATCGTGTTACCATACACCATGTGGAATAACTATGTGGTTTCTTAGAAAAAATAAAAATATTATGACATAACCGGAAACATATCCTCTGAGAGAGATTGGTCAGAACATCGAAATGTTTGAAAAGGCACATTATTTCAAATCTCTCCACTTCCCAAAGTACATGAAAAGCAATGACCGAAAGGTACATGGTATAACTAACATATAGTTCAACACTGGTTGCAATGGCAGAAAAATACTGCTTAAAATGAAAAGCACATGACAGACAGAGTATTTGTTTTTACACTGAAATTAAATGGATTGTCGGTCTTGTATATTTGGTTACAAAGCCTCAGTATGTAATATCCCCTGAACAGTTCTTGAGGACTGGAAAGTACCAGAGGTCTCTGGTGGTGGCACTGTATCCCAGCTCAGCAGTCTCAATGTGCTACACAACAACCAGATTCCTCATGCTTGTGCAGAAGAGACATTCTGGAGAAGGTTTTGGAACAGTTCTTGCATTGGTATTTTTTCACATCCGAATGGGTTTGTAGGTGAGCCCTGAGGTTGGACCTGTCCGCAAAAGCCCTACTGCAATGGGGGCAGGAGAATGGCTTTTCTCCTGTAAGAGGGCAAAGGGGAAGAAATGTGTCAGTATTCACAGGCGGATAAGAGATACAAACAGACACAAATATCCACTCCACTAAACTGACATAGGCCTAATAATGTAGGGCTATTTACTCCATAATCAACTGTAATAACTTAACTAGCACATGGACTGGTACAGTTACTCTTATTGTGCACTGTAAAGGTTAGGAAATACTAGAGCCAAAATCCTTCTTCCCTGACTTTTTGTCAAGCATGAGATATGGCTTGACATAAAAGCCTAAATCTTTTACTTTGTGAAAAGTATAAACCAGAACATAAAATGTTGTACAACATGGAACTTCAAAGTAGTCTGAAAACCACACCTTTAACATAAGTTGCCACATAACACATAACTGTTTTACACAGGCATTGCAATGCACTTTGCAAAATGTATATAATACATACATTGAATAAAGACTGTTAAAACCCCTTATCATAAATTATATATTCCATAAACTGTTGCACAAAGTTATCCTAAAACGAAATAGCCCACCATGCAGCTATCTTCAGTATTTCCAAGTAGACTATTGTACAGTAATGGCACTCCAAATCTTTACAGCTACTCACCAGTGTGCGTTCTGATGTGTCCCTGAAGCAACCACGGTCTTGAGAAAGCTTTGCCACATATTTTACAGACACAAGGCAAAGTGTGAGTTCTGATGTGCATTTTTAGGGCTCCAAGACTGACGTACTCCTTTTCGCAGTATTTACAACTGAAAGATTTCCTCGTCTGAGCGTCGCAGTGCAGTTGCTTATGCTTTAGCAGTCCAGAATACGTGGAATAGGACTTGTTACACAAACTACATTGGAATTTCTCTGTCTCCGCTCCATGAGGATCTGTAAGTTTGGTAAGCATCCGATCGTCTTCATCGCTCCTGGGACTCTCGGAGCCGCTGTGGTCTTTGGATGAGGTGTCAGAGAGCGATGAGGGGTATCCAGAGATGGGAGAGAGGTCATTTGGAAGCGGAGATAAAGGAAAACTGCTTGTAGTCCATACTGTGATAGGGTTGTACGCGACCGAGCTAAGGATCTCCGGTTGAGGAATGACAGGCAATGGGAGGCCTTTGTAGAGATACGGTGAAATAAATACTGAAAATAGAAAGAAAATCATACATTAGGTGATTAAAAATAACTTCACTGCACAGTAATAATAGGCCTATGTATGTCCATGTATTATTTATTTAAAAAAGAGCTGAATAACATCTCCTCATTGAAGAGCACAGATTGGAAAGTTACAAAGTAGCAATAACTTTGACATAGAGATGCAATTAAACTATGTATCCGGATACAATGAAACTATGTATCCGGATAATAGCCTGACCGCTGTCAATTTGTAAACGTGTAACAACTTTGTTGCATGTCAGTGTAATCCATGCATCTGTTGAGCGATGGATTTAGAAAACTTTTTTGCTTTACCTGTAGGGCTTTCCAGCTCGCTATAATTTGGCTTCTTAGAGGAGTTAATATGTTTCTTGACAAGAAACGATCGTGGCATCTTGGAAAAATATATGGGACTGAAACTTTGGTATAAAACTTTTTTGGTCAATATAACGGTCCCCTCAGGGCGCGACAAATCACTGCAGAGACGGAAATCCTTATTGCATAGTCCAGTGAAGTGTCATTGTAGTGCAGAGAGCGATGTTGTAACAGTAGAGCAAGCAGCAGTAAAGAGCTGTAAATACTCCCTATCAGGTGCATGGGAGGAGTCTCCCAAGAAACATTTACATATCAGGGGTCTTCAAACCAATTAAAACCACGTAAGTTTGTAATGGGCGGAGTCAAGACCGACCCTCTTGGTAGACAGGTGTATTTGTGTGTGGAGTGGGGAGGTTTGTGGACTAGTGGTGTGATGGTGGTGATGGTGTTTGGGTTTGTAGCTGGAGACAGTTGTAATCTAAGGATTGATACCAGTGCAATCATCGGAATGTGCAGGTTGTTGGTAATGAGCGTTGTGTGTTGCATAGCTCAGAAGGCATGAACATGGATAGCCTGTTCAATGGCATGGATGACTAATTTAATGAGGAATAGAATTGTAAAAACACATCTGCATGGTATTAAATGATATTGCTCCCTATGTGCTACAGCATACACACGTTTGATTATTTATTGATGTATCCCCTTTCCCCAATCCAATGAAATGTAATGTATGCACAAAAAGGGGATAGTGGAAAGCAACTCCATTACTCTGTTCACATTGAACGGGATTGTCCTCAACGAAGCTTTCTCTGATGTCAGTGTGTATGCAGGCAGTAAATCATACATTTCCTTGTCAATAATCCAATAAGGTATTCTTCCTTAAAATGTAAATCTAACTAGTTGGCTTTCAAGGTCAGCCTCAACAGCATAATTACATTTACCTCTGTCTGCTGAGCCTGCTGAGCAGAGCCTGCAGATAAGGAAATGTATACTCTACGCCCCCTTGTGTCCAGTTAACTCTTGGCAATGGCATTATTTGGCAAAAATAATGAAACAAAGGATGAATTTTAATAGTTCCCATAGCAATTAAAATTGGCAAATTCATCAAATTTTAGAATGTCATTGTGTTGCTAACTTAAAGTTAATTGTGAACTGGTTATCTTATCTTCAAAACTTAATTGGAGACAATAAATAATGTATTTCTTTCCTGGCTAAATTATGAATAGGAGGAGGGGTTATCTGTGCATAATTCGTTGGATGGCTCCATTTTTTATGGGTGAGACCTAATGTTCCAGCACGTTAGATAAACTGTCTTGACTGACCATGAGTGTATTTGTCTGACAACACACTGTGTAATGGATGTGCAGCTCATATGTTTGTTTGTATTTGTATTTTTGCATGTTTGAATGTTGGTGTTATGTTGTACTTTATGTTATATTGGTTTTTCGCAATAAACCAAAAAAAAACAAAGTAAATGTTGGTACGTTTTCCATGGTGAGAAAGCATCAATGTTTCACAAAGATAGGCTGTGTGCACTGATTAAAATTTTGGATGAGTTATACGTATACACACTTAAAACATACCTTTATTGTGAAAACACAAGTCAATACTGCAGCTTTCTGCATCTAAATCAACATGGATACCCAATATACAGGGGTTACTTACAACGTAGTATTATATAGGGGGATTTGATGCTAAAGCAGATTGGTGTGCATCGTCTTCAAGCTAATCAGGTCATGTCCAGGGCAGCAAAGTGTTAGTTTGATGAAATGTTCTATACATATGATCAACAATCATTTTGAAAATCACCTGAAACGACAATAACTAATTTGTGAAAAGAGGATCAAATGCCCGTGAGATGACATAATGACAAAGAAGCCTTATGTGGTGCAAGTGATAATAGCATTCAAATTCACATTACTCTTTTATAAGGGCCATTTTATCTCTCAGGCCGATGATGCTCAAATTAGTCCATTGTTAATTAAGATAGTAAGTCAATGCACTTACAAAGGGGAATGCAATTATTAAAGTCCTATTTAACAACTTAATGTTATTACAATGTAATGACAGAGTTATAACACAGGTATAAGAGCAACTTCAATGTAACGTGTTAGACTTTGGGACAGTGTATTGTGCAGGGTAGAGGATCTTAAGGCACTGAACACAGCTGTCTGTTAATGTATTGAGGAGCTGCAAGTGAGTTTCCTGATCTGATGTGAGATACACATTGAATCCTGAATAGCTTTCTCTGAGTAGCACAGCCCTGAGAGGGAGACCATGTGTCTAGCCCTGATAACGGGTTAGGAATAGATTTTCTTGATAAGCATGTATTCCAAGCCAATATGTTGCACAAATTACTACTTAAAAAATCACCGTTTTGAAGAAAAAAAAAGTTGGAACCGGCTCCTTTGAATCTGCTTTTAATTTGCTCTGGGTTCGCATTCCCTAACGAAACCATACCGCAGTACTCGCCGATAATTGCCTTTTAAATCGCTCCTTTTGCTTGTACTTATCTTAGGCTATGTGCATAATATATTTTCTTAATCAACGGTGAACGTAAATTCACATTAATTTCCTCATTGGGAGAAATGTGAGTTGTCCGTGAGAAAATTAACAACTGAGGCGATTGACGCGAGTTAAAACAAATCGCATGTGATTTTTAGCCAGTCATTTTGGCACCAGGGCGCACCGTAAGGGAAAATGTGAAACTGTATCTATCCCATGCCTTGCTGGCGACGACTGTCGACGGAAAGGATGCTCTGTCTCGTTTCTGCTTGAGAAATATGGAAAAAAAATACACGTTTTTCGAGTAGCCTAGGCTAAGTGTGGGATGCTTTACGGTTTCGCACATTGGCTCAGTGTGTGGACATCGTGGGCGACGGTGCCAGAAGGATAGGTAGGCTATGATTTCACCGAGATTTTTTAGAATCTGCTGCCTTCACTGAATAAATAAACACATTTCAGAAGGGATTGATGTAAAGGGCCGACTGGATCTAATATCATCACCACCTGTTACCAGAAAATAAGGTAAGCTATATATAGACATTCCAAGTCAACCACTCGATTTATATTGTATAATACAATGTACTTTGCATTTAGTGTAGTGGGATATAGCACACTAGTGCATGAGACACTATCATGTATTCATTGTACCTTTAAAAACGTTCACTTTTATTTATACGCCATTTGTAGACTATCACTTTCATAAAGCCTAATTTAGGAGCCAGTAGGCTATGCTCTTCATGATCTATATAATATCTAATAAGTAGCCTAACAATCTATAATCATTGGCTCTCACATCTGCGTAATGTAGCCTACGAGAGGGAACAGTTAATTCAGATTATGATAGAGAACCTATTAAGTGTAAAATATGAAAGGAATTTAGGTTGAAACATGCAGTAGCCCCTCTTGCCTCCGACGTGTCCAAATGTATAGGCACCCGCAGTTCCTCCAGCTAGTTCCGTGACAGTCCTCTTTCTATCCACAATTATGTAAAACAAGGTTGAAGTGCAGAGGCTATACACTGCCCATATTGCCATGGACAGTTTGATATTATATAGACTTGTAGATTATGGAATTCTGCTGCCACGGTAAAACAGTTGCTGGTATTAATCATATTCCAGTTATTTACATGGTTGTACAGCCTACTGGTTGTTAGTCTTCTGCAGCTAATAATGTGGAATACATGCAATACCAGCCTGGCCTAATATATCACCAGCCCCATGGCAACCAAACTATAGTCTCTATTCTGGTTTTAATACCTTTTAGGAAGGGATATAGATTTACTTGAAAGCCCCTCCTGAATATCTATTATCTATTATGAATAGATATATAACATTTCCACTCCTCTTACAGTAATGTTTGTTAAAGTAAAGGTAAGTCAACAACTTGAGGGGTCAGTTGGTGTATATCTTATAATATTTGTCCTAATTCACACATGTACATATGAATACATGCAGCATGTGTGAATTGCAACCCAAAAAAATGTGTGTGCATTTCCCAACTCTCCTTGAGACACCCTCGGAAAGTGCGGTAATAGCAAGGGAATGCCATTATCAACAGCGACCCTATAGCAATTAGGGTTAAGGACCTTGCTTAAGGGCCCGTCTACAGATTTTTCTCCTTGTCGACTTGAACTAGTGACCTTTCGGCCCATAGTGCTACCATCCATTGGCTTTAAGATGGAGGTTAATACCTAGCTAGATTTGATTGACACACTCTTCATTTGTATTCAATGTAAGCTGCTTGCTGAGCTCAATGAAACCATAGGATAGGCTATACATGTTAGGTCTGTATCATGGCCTTATCATCAATATGCTGTAATTGTTACAAATTCTTCTGAAAGGATAATTAAGCAGCCTAGGTCAATGGTCAAAGGTAGCAATTTGGTTGATGTACAGTATAGTGGCAGATCCTAGTTCCTATGGGAATGAAAAGGTGGTGACATGTCATTGACATGTTTATGTTCCAACTATACCCCCTCTCCCCATACAGCTCATACTATAAATCAAAGATGTCTTTGTCAAGAACATCAGGCTTGATGGAAATTGGCCAATAAGGTACTGTGACCAGGTGTCAACCAGGCATGACTCTCCTACCTACAGTGCCACATTGTAATGCCATTAAGTACACTCTTAGAAAAATAGATGCCAAGTAGAACCCAATAGGGTTCTTCAGCTTGTCCCCATAGGGGAACCCTTTTTGGTGCTAGGTAGAACCCTCTGTAAGTGGTTCTTCGTAGAACCCTCCATGAGGGTTCCAGTAGAATGGTTATACTGTACCAATAACACTTTTATCTTATGTTATCTTTCAAATTAAACTATTTTTGACAATACAAAACATATATCATGAGGCTTTTCTTTGAGGGCCTAGTTATACCCTAACACAGCGGTCTGAAACTCCACATCAGGCCTGCAAGTCACATTATGCTGGCTTGCAAAGTGATGTGTAATTCCTATTGGAATCCAGACAAAGTGAGGATATCCAACAATTGTGACTTTTAATCACCCGCAACCTGCATTCAGAATGACTGCCAGGGTAGGGAAATTCATTAATGAGACTACATAAATCATATAAACTGGAACAACCATCTCAGTAACGGGTGTAATAAATCAAACTACTAACTAATGTATATTATTTACCTTTGTGTAGCATAATCAACCAATCAAAAAGTACATTCAGAAAGTATTCACACCTGAGCCCTCCCGAGTGGCGCAGCGGTCTAAGGCACTG